TTTCTTTTATTGTATTTTTATCCCCCTTTGCTGCTCTTTGACAGTGCTCCAAAGGAGTGGAATCCAGCTTAAAAGAATTCATGCATCTTCCCTAGCTCCAAATGCTCAGAACAAATGGAAAAGCTGAACAGATTTTTGTAAATTTTACTCAGCTGTTAGCTTCAAAAAGGATTGTCAAAAGACACAGATGCATCTGTTATCTTCAGCTAACTTCTTGCAAGAAATTATTTTGAAATTGCTTTTCATATATATAGTGACACACAAAACATAGAAGTATTGATATTAAAAACCACCAAATATCAAGGGACACTTTAGTTTGGACCAAGCATAGACCTGAGAGACAGCAGAAATTTTATATTTTGTTTTCCATGACCCTTTTGATACTCACACACTACAGCTACAAAACGATAATGAATACTGTATTTATTCATTCTTATATTTTCTGAGCAACTGATATTCTGTATTTCTAAACCATCTTGTCTTTAGTAAGTTTTCTGCACTGTATTAAGAGACTAAATGACAGAGAATTGACAGGCTGTTCTATGAGAAACCTTGGGTTTTCCTTCTTTTTTGAAAGCAAAGTAACTGCAAATGAATTTTTCCTTCAGAGACCCCACTAGGGATTCTTACTGCAATGGTAGAATAAACAGGTTTTTGTTTTTTCTTAAACAGTGGCTTCACTTCTCTTAACCACAGCAGACACTGTGCTGAAAGCTACCAGGGGCACTGGATGCACCTCCAAAAACTCTCAAGAGCTATTTGAAACAAAATTTTGAAGCAGCTCAGCAGTTCTTAATCACAATCTTCCTTCAATTTCACACAACCGTAAAAGTAAAAATAAAACCATGATCTGTTTAACTCTGAAAACTGTTGTTTACAGTCTGTGGCCTTATGAATAGTGCCTTCATAGGGCAAGTAAAATGTCTGGTTTCTCACAGCAACAGCAGTGAGAGAAAATGTGCTCAACAGCCCCATATATCATCATAAGAATTCAATATCCAGGACATTTTCTGTTCACCGTGCTTGAATTCAGAGAAAGACGAGATAAGGTTAGAAAAACACAGCAGAGATTACTTGTCACTTTAAAGCATCTCCCTGTGTTAACTGTTCTGTGCTGTAGGCTCTGAAATACCAACACAGCCTCTGAGACTGTGCTCAGAAGCAGCACTGTGACAAAGTACATGATAACTCAAGTGGGTGCTAGCTACAAGCGTTTGCAAGTATTAAGAATAATACACAAAGTAAAGCCCAACCATTCCTAAAGCAAAGGGCTGACAGCTCAGGCGGGTGGACAGCCAAATAGATTGACTGTGTAATAAGGTAACTCAGCTTTCCGTGCAGAGTCATGGAGCTGAAGAGAAAGCTGCAAAACAGCGCTCAGAGCAAAAGCAAACGAAAAAAATTAATCTTTTCTAGTAGCAAACTCCTCTCTCCCTTCTTACTGCTTTTCTCATTGCTCCAGGGTAAGTATCAAGTGCCTCAGTCAATCCTATTACCTTGATCTGAGACATCCTTAGCATGGGTGAGGGATTACAAGCCTGCGAAGGTACAAGTCAGGGCTGAAAAACCGTGTTCTCCAGTAAAGCCAGGAGCTGCCATCAACCAGCAAGAAACAGAGTCCTTCAGAGTTTACAGGCTCAGGCTTCCTAAGATTTAACTCTCTATAGCCCACCAAAAAAATGTCACTGCAATTGTTCAGGTGAAATGAGAGATGAGCCAAAGACAACCTGTATCTAGGCTCAACACCCTGGGAAACATATGAGCTGGGAGCTGGCTGTAGTGAGCACCTCAAACTCAGCAGAGCTATGTAGCACAGTCTGCTGCTGCTCTTCTCTCCCAGGCTCCTCTAGCAACATAAATCACACTGAAAGATCTTTACGGGGTCAAAACCAAATTGAAAAGTGATTTCAAATATTATGTTACTAAGCAGTAGCACACCAATGGAAAATAAAATGTAATTTATGTCTCAGCACTGATACAGAGTCTGCTAAGCTAGTCCCAGAGAGTACTTCCAGAGCACAAGGCAGAACAGAGTTTATTACAGATTATTAGCAACTAAGCAGATTTCCTTTGTGTGCTTTTTACAGCCTAAGCATCACCCAATGCAGATGCATACGAACTAAAATTTTGGCTTGTCAACACTGCAATACTGTAATATAATTGGGAGAGAGGGTAAATACATTCTCAAAAAGCATGGGTGTCAATGAGATCATTTTTGGTTACCTAATGAAAAAACCTGGATTTTTAAAAGCTCCTGCAACAGGGTATTGGGAGTTAAACTGTAACTTTTAGATCCTTACATTAGAGCTGCCTGCTAGATACATTTCCAAATACTGTATGAAAACATAAAGAAAAGCACCAGTAGAAAGCAGTAGTCCATTTAACTCCTCACCATGTGTCCAACTGTGGAAACACATATAAATGAAAGGAGAAAACTCTGGCACTTTCTGGGGTTGTTTTTCCCTTCTAATTCCTCCAGCATTCAGTTGCAGGAACCTGGCCCCTGTTGAACAAGACAGCCACTGTTCCACTGTGTAGATAACAGGGAACTCTGCAATTATTTTCAGTTCAAATACAAGTTTCATTGTAATATAGAATTAAAATGTTTTAAATTTTTCTAGACAACTGCCAGATTAAGGTCTACCACAAAATAACGCATAGCTAGTTTTGTCATTTTGCCATTACTCCATTAAGATACATGAAATATCAGTTTTCAATTAGTGCCCTTTTATTATTCCCTTTTTGGCTCACAATCTTCCCTATTTTGGATGCAGCATGATCTTATGCCCAGGCAACAGCACAATTTAGTATCATTATTCAAGCTCTCTTCAGATCTTGCCAGCTTTTTCCAAGAAAAATACAAAAAACTAGGATCTGTAATTCTAGTATTTGCTGAACATGAAGAAGCAAGCCAGAAAAAATCCCCAAAATTATAAGGCTGGCAAACCATTATAAAGCATCAGGGAAAAGCCTGGGCAAACTTTTTTCTGCTTCATGGATTCACTGACTGAGATCCAAACAAGGTTTATATAGATAAAAATAAATAAAACAATATTTTACTGGACAGTGTTTGCCCTCTAGGGCAAACACTTGGTGATATTGACTGTCTGCCAAGGAGAGTGACAGTTGGAGTCACAGAATTTTATCAAAAAAGCCATTTTCCTTTCCTCCCACTTGGCAAAATAGAACATTATCTTAGCAGAGCAGGTTTCTAACTTGGGCTTTTCAAAAACTGCAAAGTGTGTTGCTGTGAAAGACAGGACATGGTCACATTGCCAACTTTGGCACACAGGCAGGAAAACCACGATCTGTGCAGGCCAGTGCTCAGTAAATGAGCTTAGCCCAGCACTGTTTGCTTTCATCTGTTGCACAGAAATCTGGGGTTGAAAGGCCATGGTCAGAAGGTCTCCAGGGGATGATGGTGTCCCACCCCATGGCTGACAAAACCCTATGCTTCCAGGACCTGTACCGTGCACCTCAAGGGCAATGGCTTCTTTACAAAGGTAGCCTCACAAAGGTAAAATTATCCAGGAGCAACTGAGCACAATCATCCAGAGTCAGGCAGGGAAAAAAAGACAAGTCTGATGTTTTGTGTACTCTGTGGTAAAAACACCAGCTGACAGACATCTATCACTTCCTGTCTCTACCCCATACACAAATCAAAGGGAATCCCAAATACACAACATGGGACTGAGTTTGCACAGAAACAATACAGGACACACAGCCTCAGCACACAGGAAGAGATTCCCACTTAACCTGTCATGGATAAAGCAGGGAAGACTTTACTACAGATTATTGGTAATGTAAGAGACAAGGAATACGTCCTCTTGGATTAGACAACAAAAATGTTCAGTTCTTAATAGGAAACATGGACTTCTCAGCTGCATGGATTACTACTGCTGGCCAATCCTTGAAATTTATAATTATTGCAATCTATTGGCATCCAGGAGATTCTTCCATTTTATGGCCTCTGAATGTACAACCCAGTAACAATTCTGACTTTGTCTATTAAAATAACATTGAAGCAATCAGTGGCTGCTGCTGTACCCAAGTGACCACCATGTACAGATTCCCTGTTTCCAAGCACACAAGATGCAAAGTGAGAAACAATGCAGGCACCTATTTCCTAAAACAGCAGCTTTCAGCAGCTGTACATCAGTGTAACTCTCTTAAAGTCAATTACTTGATTTTGTTTTACAACCACTTTTTTGCTTCAAAATCTACAAAAAGACTACCTTTCAGTAAACATAGCTCAGCAACACTAATTAGAGGTGTGTTAAGTACAAACAGGAAATACAGATGAATAGATGCTACCTGGTTTCATGTTACAAACTATTAAGAACATTCAGTCCCACTAAGATGATGATTCTTTCATATCTGCCAGAACAAACACAGACTCAGCACACTTCCTGCTCAACAGCTGGTTACTTACTTACTTACTGGTTACGTATTGATTTGCATCAATACTCAACCTACAGACTATGTAACTACAGGGGGGAAGACAGAAGCATCATTAAAAGGCTGAGTTGCTATGTCATATCATCATGAATTCAGTTGTCTCTGTTGCATTTGTAAAAATCATACCCTCCAACCACATTACAAAAGAAATAAAAATCACAATTTACCATGTCTGCAACAATGTTTGCTTTGGAAAATTTCTATGATTGCTGAGAACTTCCAAAGTAACATACAGAAGAATGTTTTCACCACTGGAAATCTTTATGTTGTTGCTGAGGATTTTTTTTAAGCCTGAAAGACTTTTTGTAATTATTCTAGCTACTGTAGCCTAAATTTGATGAAATTTCTTTAAATTTCATCACTTTAAACTGTAACAAACTGATTAAAAATCCAATGGCATTTTCCACCTTGGTCTACATTTTAAAATAACGGAGAGTCATACAACTACAGAAGACAAACCCTCTGAAAGGGTTTATGGCCCCCAGGTACCTCTCTTTTTCCAAAAGTAACACCTTTCTAATGAAACAGAAGCTGTTCCTTACCTGAAAAGAGTTCATGCATCGAAGTGAAGGTGGCAGAGATGTGGTACTCAGACCCAGTATCAACAATAATTCCAAACATGTTTCTGATGGAAACTTTAAAGGATAAACTCCCATATCATCTTCCCATGCATCAGCAAGCCTATAGAGTTAAAAAAAGCTTCTTCATTTTCTTAAAATAAATCTAAACCAGAAGTTTCAATTAAGTATTAAAATGTGTCATATCACTGTGATAAAAAATTCCCTTCATGTTTTCTCTGTAAAAGTGAAAGATCAGTGTGTTTTACCAGAAAAACACTGTGCATTTAGATAAAGTGCCTTACCCATACCACCAATATCTTTCAAAAATACACATAATGTGAAAGGAAAACTTAGCCTATTTTAGAAAAATTCACTCCTGTTTCTAATTCAGCTTCATTACTTGTGAACAAAATTTCATCTGTCACTTGTAATTTCCCATTCTACAATGATTTTACGCATAGAGTATTCTTTGCAGTACTTTAATATATATATTAATATATAATTATATAATGCCTCCACTTTTTATTTTGTTTCTAGAAAGATTCCCTACAATTTTGAAGACAGGAGGTCAGACATGATTTTCAAAACTGATGTTCATTATGCTCACTGGGAACTTACTAACAGTCTACACAAAGCAAAAATCAATCCCAGTTCATCTTCTACAGATTTTTTATTTGGATGTAGTAAAAGTTATTTCTAGAGTTACTCATAAAAACAACATTTCAGAAGCAGATTCCTGTAAACTGCTCCCACTATCACATGCTGAAGAACAACATTAGTTCAACAAGATTTACTCAAAATACAAGATCATTCTGCTTCCTATAGTTCAGGATTATTTCTTCCATAATACACAAACTGACAGACTGATCAGTGATCCAGTTACTTTAATGACTTTGGGTAGGTAATATCAGATACTCCTGGATAAGATGAATGCCATTTATTCTCAGCACATCTGAGTGCATTGCTTCAGAAGACAATGCTTGCTACCCTTCCCTGTCCAAGACTTCAAGATTTCACTAAACAATCTTAGCATCAGCTTTCACTTTTGAATTCCTCCAGCTCTTCTGACTGAACCACTGCCCGTGAACATACCAGCTTATTTTAATGTACTTTCTAGAAACAGCTGCATTTTTTCAGACACTTGGGGCCCCAGCATTCAGCATGGTGAAAACTGAGCAAATACTCTCTTCACAATATCTGTGTCACCCTGGTTCTCATTCTCTCAGGCCTCCCAAACCCAATGACTCACTGTAAAGTCTTGCTTCTTACACATAGGCTTGCATATACACTTTTGATAAATATCACCTTCTTAGTTCTTCTAGAAGATGTCCTACTTAGCATAATTTACACATCTTTCTTCAAAGAGTGGGTGTACTTTCACTTTCTTACCTCTATTTGTCTGAAATCAGCCACTTACATTTCAGTTCTTTGCTTTTTTTTCTAATATTTATATCTTTTTCTCTTTCTTAATTTATCTGTGTGTATATAAGAATCCAACCCTGCTTTGATATATAGAAGGAAGACCTATAATGCAAAGAATGCCAGAGGGGCTTTCATCTCTCTAAAAGTATTTTCTCTCTTTTTTTTTTGTCCCCACAATAAAAGACAAAGAGAATCATATCACATCTAGATTACCAGATATATAATTTCTTTTCTCAAACCGCACCAGAATGAGTCATCTTGACAGAAGAAGATCTAAGTTTTACATGGCAAGGAGAAGGAGGAAGGCATCCCCTGGTCTTCTAATGGCAGCGCATCATTTAAGATTTCCAACTTATCTGAGACCATACCAAAGGGCAGTGGCCAAAACCTCCCACACATTAACACGTTTTATAATATGTACTATCTCACTGGACATTTATACTGTGACACATGGATCTGGAAAGTTGTTAAAGCTACTACAAAAAATCCCAACTGACCACTAGGACAGGAAGGTAAGATGTTTAGAAGAGACTCTGAAGTATTCTCATTATTGGAAGGTACAAACCTCCAGTTAAGTCACAAATATTATGTCAGTGCTGAATGGAAACAGGATTATTTTATAAGACTACAGACTACACAAGTGGCCAAGCCCAGAAAAGGCAGCCCTGACTGGTTCAGAGTTCCAGGTTGGATGGGGCTCTCTCTGAGCAACCTGGTCTACTGGAAGGCATCCCTCCCCACAGCAGGAGGATAACAACTAGAAGATCCTTAAGGTCCCTCCCAACCCAAACCACTCTGTGATTCTATAAATGTTCCAGGAGGAACACAAAGCTAGATGATGAGCCCTAAGTACTCAGTAACCAAGGAGTCTTGTTAACTGTAATCCAGAATGGAGTTTTACATTTCCTTATCCCTTGGTAATTTCATTTCCCCACATAATTAGAAACTTACCTTTAAATGCTCCTTACTCATTCTTTTCTCTACATGTTCTACAATCTGGTGAGGCACGAAAATTTAGGTGAAGTTAGCAAAATAGGGCCTCTCTTTTTCAGAAATCAGCAAATCTAAACAAAGCACTGTGCAGGCACCTTCAAACACATCTAGAGAGTTTGGAGACTGGAGGTGGTATGCTAAGGTTCTGGGTCTTGGGAAGGTGTTTCCACAGATCAACACCCTTTCTTCAAAGAAACTTTTCAGAACTCCAAGCAATATTCAAAACATCACAACTTACATCAGTACCCTGATTCTAATCTTGTGTTTTTGATACAAGAAGATGCCTCCTCATTTTAAAATCCAACTACTACAGCCCTGACACCAAACTGGGGATTTTTCTTTTGTGGCTGTTGGTTTAGCTGAGGGAAAGTAGGTTTGCATAAAGACATTTAGCTTAATTACATTGGAATTCTTGTTTATTAATTGCTCAATTATTAATATTTCCTGAAATTATTCCAGTGCATTCCCTTATTACAAACAAAACATATCCCAGCATTTACTGCTCCAGGAACACACATGTTAGGAATTAGTCCTTGTGACTTGCCCTTTGACAGCATTTAACACAAATGGTTGTGGAAAAGTCACTGCTTTATTAGATCATTCTCTTTGGTCTTCTCTATCCCTGTTGCTGTTAGAAGCACTTTTCCATAATCTCTATTGTAGAGGAAAAAGATAAGCATCTATGCATAAAACAAAAGCAAAAAAAACCACGAAGAATCCACTGTTTTTCACCTTAGTTTCATGGTCTTTCTATATAAAAGCAGTTGTCTCACTTCCAGTACAGAAGACTTTGCTTTTTACTGGAAGAGGTAGATGGGCAGATAATGCTCCTCAGGAGAGTGAGCATCCACAGAGGACAGCTCAGCTGATCACTCCCAGCACAATTCCCAGACATCACAGCACAGCTTCTATGCTGGCTGAAAGGAATAAGGGAGGAGGTAAGACAAAAGCTTGAGGAAAGTGAGGCTGACAACAGAATAATTCCTTCAGGAAATATTCAACTTTTCTACAACACAAAGAAGTCTTGAGATTCTGGACTTCACAGTCTGACACAAGAAAATATGATTCTCAGTATCAAAATTTATAAATTCCAAACAAATTCTCTAAGTCATTGTGGGGTGCAAGACTGCACCTATTTTGGACAATTTTGTGACAAGTAAAATCTCAACACTACCTATTAGCCTTGCCAGTATTTGAGGGAAATGTGACTCAGCTTTAGAAACCAGGCTTGAATAGAGTAAGATGTAGGAAAACATACTCAGGAAAATGGTACAAACTCAGACCATGCTCCAAGTCAAGAAAAGAGCATGCCAGAGTGATTTTTTTTTCCACAGGATGTTAAATCCACCTCTGCAAATCACCATTATCATCCAGTTTTGTGTGTCAGTGATCTCACCAACAGGAAAACACAAATAATTCTAAGCATTTTGTGTGCCACTTCATTCTTTCCATTTTCTCTCTCTTTTCTTTATCCCACTCTTCCCCAAAACTTGTATTAATCCTTTTAGCATATTTCAACCAAATTTTCTTAAGAAAGATCTCAAAAAAATTAGATTTGGGGAAGTTTCATGTTTTCCTGATTTTCAGGAGAGTACTGAGAAGGAATGCACATTAGTTGCTCCACAGAGAAAAGCTGCTAATGGAACACAGCAACATATATACCAGCTAATCACGTGGTGCTTGCCTGGGAGAATATGAGCATGAATTTATTAATATGGTATTTCTATCTAGCAAAATCAACTACTATAAACAAAGTAAACATGTTCTTCAGAGCCCACCGCACTCCCTAGTGAGTGAAACAAACTGAGAGGCTTGGTGCTTTTACTTAAGTGCACTCTATGTTGTGGGTTCAGGACAACTGGAAAAAAAAATCTTAAATTTTGAGGCAAGAAGAAGAGTTGGTGATAATTGAATTGATCCCTAGTAAGAACAACAGTCAGAGGCTTCCCAGTGTTAATCAAACTTGAGTTGCAACTTCTGCAGATCAGAGTGAAACCTCAAATTCAGAACTTCTTCTGTTCAGTCTAAGAGATATCTATTAGTCTCACCCATGAAAACACAATTAACAGACATTAGATTGAAAGATATAACTAGAACCTTCACATAACTTTCATTCTGAGAAGGACAGAACCACATACGATGAATGCTAATAAAACTTCCATATATTTCTGGCACACAATTCAGAACTGAACTGAAGTAGTACAGAAATGAAGAAGTAAAACTCTGCTCAAGGAGGGCGATACTTGGCTGGATGCTGATGTGAAACAACAACGTGCTTTGTGCTAAACTGTCAGAACAGAGCACTCCAAACAAGTAAGAAATAAAAATGACAAACTGAGACTATCTTCCCCCTTGTCCTTTTCAATACTTTCTCTAAGGAACTGGTCATTTAAAGGAGAAATTTATAACTTTTTATATGATTCTCACATTCCCATAACCAGTCAAAGAAATACAGCTAGAAAAGCAAAGTTCCCATAGTCACATGTATAAAATGTTTTTAAAAATGAAGTGGTATTTTCAAAGTTGTTTAGTTGATAATAATGCAAAATCCAGGAAAATTTTGATTTCTTTAAAAAATTAAAAGAAATCAACAATTCAAGCAATTAATTCAAGCAATTAATTCTGAAAGCAGAGAGGAGTAAAACTTGAAAATTACATAAGATGAAAGACAGTCACTTCTCTAACAGAAACAATTGATCACAACAG